CGGTATTTTCTGTGAAATTTTGGTACGATGGTGTAAACATAGTCCATAACGATCCATGAATCTCATGCACCAATGTTGTGATGTACGAAAAGAGTTATTTACAGAAGCAAATTTTTCATCTTTCATGAGTTTCATGGTTCGCAACCGTATTGCAAATCGGGTTATGACAATCTTGCCAACTGTTGTCTAGAATGTAGTCACTTAAAGCTTTTTAAATAAATAAAAAATAAAATCGAAACAAATTTAATAAAAAAATAATAAATAAAATTTTTGTGTTTTTTCTATATGAATGATATATTTAATAATCAAGTTCACCCACATGTCATCAAACAGCGGTGGCGGATCTTTTTTTTTTTTCATGTTCCCTGTAAGTCGATCCCACACTTTGAAGTCCTGTAAGTCAATCCCACACTTTGAAGTTCCCTGTAAGTCGATCCCACACTTTGAAGTTCCCTGTAAGTCGATCCCACACTTTGAAGTTTGATCTTTCTTTCTTAAAACTGTCAACATGGGTATATACAGTAAATAACAATATAAAAAAATACCTCCCTCCTAAGTCCAAAGTCTAGGAATGGTTAATAACATCTGCTCAACAAAAGAAAGCAGGTGTGCAATAAATGCATTTGTCTTCCAACTAAGATTCCTACATGTCACATTCAAACATCTGCTGACTAGGGAGTCATGCTGTGGTCAATGACAATACATACAGGGCCAATCCTAGCAGGGACAGGATGGTGAACAGCACATAGGCAGCCAGATTTAAGGGTAGTGAAATGATTACTAAATATATTTCTGTAAGAAAAGTTGGCCAGTTTCAATTTGCATGTGTGTAGTCGATGGACAAGAATAGGAGCTGAATACACTAATTTGATTTATGTTGGCCAGAAATACCCTTTCGACCCTTGAGTGTTGTAGGGGACACTTTTCTATCTGATGTAAGTGAAAGTAAAGCCCAAATATTGCCATGCCTACATGTTATTACTAGATTTAAACTGATAATCTAAAATCCAGAAATTTCCAAAATCATCGAAGTCCTGATGACTCTGGATTTTGGACTTTTATACTGTATTTGCATTTCAGTGCATACAGAAATACAATAACCACTGGCTTAATCAAGGATATAAAATTTCAAAGGAAGAGTAAAACAGGGATCTTTGCCTTTATCTAAGCTTTAATTTTGATAATATAACAGCAATTACTGTCATCTCATCAAAATTAAATAATAACAGACTGAACAAAATAATAAGCTGGATCAAATCAAAAAAAAAAAAAAAATAAAGAAAGAAAAGGTGGGTAAAAGTGTATTTTAGGGTACCCCTTGGCGATTTTTGGCGGTACATGGATACCGAGTTTGTGCAATTCTTTGACTTATTATTTTGGCTTGCAAAACGGAAATTTTTGCACCAAAAATGGCCGCTACACAAAGCCAAAATGGCAAGACAAAGAATTGCACAAACTCGGTATCGATGTACACATCAACCTATTTTCACTTTAAAAAAAAAAAAAAAATTCCCAAATTGAATGAAAATGGCATTTTGTACTCCCTTGACTTTATTGATGTACACGTTGACTGACCTATTTTCACTTGGAAAAAATCCAAGAATTGCGCAAACTTCCATTGCGCACTCCCTTCACTTTGTCTATGTATATATCGATACATTTTCACTTAAAAAGTCAAAGGAACACCTAATTCAACAAATACAGGCAAACAAAGAATACATAATCTCAATAAACTACATTTTAAACCAAACAATAAAATAACACAAAAAAGAAAAAACATGTTATACATTTAAGCACTACAAAAAGCAAATTTCCACTTACCCTATTTAGAAGTTCCTTTGTCTTTAGTCTCTGGCACACAAAATTCCTTAACAGCATCCAAAAACTTCCTAAAATTATCTGAACTTGAATCCGTATATTGCCATCGCCAAATCTGAACCTTTTTTCCTACAAACCCATTCAAATCCATCTAAACGGTTTTTACGTTTGACTAGACGCATGTCCTTTCTACATACAGGACACTTATAATGACTACTAAGTAAACCTTCATTTACACACCAGTCAATTAATGCTCTTTTCCCCTTTCGCTCCAAATCGTACAGAAACTTCAAATTAATCTTACTACATTCAGCCATTTTACCATCTAAATAATAAAACCAACACACACCACAAAAGCGCTAACAAAACATCACATGATTCTAAATTTCCCAGAATCATGTACCTGATTATGTCATAATAGGACTTCCATAACATTCAACTACTCAGGCTACCATAAATGAAACAACAACTTGGTGATAAATGAAACAACAACTTCGCCATAATACAAGGGGCACCTTAAAGTCTACGCTAACCAAAAGGTGCATTTCTCAGTGCTAGCTGAGTTCAAGTTAATAGTAATCTAGTCATTTTTCCTTCTTCCCTATTTTGCTAACAAAAAGAAGCTAGTATGCACAATGTTCTACTCCAAGCAAACACTGATCTTCAGAGTTCTCTAACTGTATACAGTGCTAAATAAAAGGGAAAAATGCTACCCACGCTACAACTATTTGAGAGCCAAAAATTAAAATGGGATTTGACAGAAGGCTGGTGTTTTAAAGTTAAAACAACATAAATAATAATTGACTATTACCACACATAATTACATTTTTTAATTTAAAAAAAGGGGGGAAGGAAAAAGAAGAGAGGGATAAAAACTTGGCTACTTGGAACAAAAATTGAATTACAGCACACTTGCTTTTGCTTCAGTGTCATATTACCTGTTCCCATACTGAGTGTGTGTGTGGGGGGAAGAATTTAAAAAAAGGGAATGCGAGGTCAGATAATAGATTATTCCAGTTATTAGGTGTCTGGATTTCAGACTTGTGTGGCACCGTAGTGTACAAAAAGAAGCTACAAAATCTATAGAATAGCATCCCTAGTATTATTCATACTGAATTTAATGAAAAATCACACATGCAAATATACAAAAGCACATCTGCCAAGCTTAAAAATTCCTATAATAAATATTTTCTGTTCAAATATCACAACCTGTTGCTGAGAGTATTTTTTAACATTATGGTTAAAACAAATAACAACTAAAATTATCTTATTTATTGTGTTAATTAAAATCTTAATTAACTTATATGAATCTTTATCAAATCTGAGATAGAGTAATTCTTAAAATAATACTTCTATTTACCAACCTAAATAATTTTAAATCACAGTTATTTCAAGAAAATTTTTAAATCACCGAAAAAAAAAAAATCTTTGCTAACTCTCAACGTAACTTAAATTTTATTCTGTTGCTAACAGTAACACATCAGTAAAGGATTAGAAGTGCTATGCTAGTTCAGTAACATATTTTAACAAAGACTTTCTACCTGATTTTTACTTAGCAGTTGAAAATATAAAAATGAATGACATTTTACTTGACATTACTGTATTGTGTGATTTTCCAGATTTATAGCATTGTCATTTTACAATTCAGAAAAGTCTGGGTTATACAACCATGGAACTGTTAACTTCTATTCATTAATTCAAATGGTACTTTTCCATTTCGAAGGCACAAATCTCACCAAGCAGACTTTATTGGCGACAACACATAGCATACACATATAAAATGTTAATAAATGTTGGTTCTAAGAATCTTTTATTTTGAGAGCATAAACATTTTAATACTGTTTAAATTTTATAAAAAGCCAATAAATTTGTAAAAAGTCATTAATTTAAGAATTTACTATGCTTTCATGGTACAACATCCTGATTCACGTGATCCCAAGTAATCTCATCTCACGTAAACTACACTATAAAAATCTAATTATCTCAGTAATTATCTACATTAATTTCAAGTTAAATCTTAATTTGGAATACAAGTTTATATGCAAGAAATATTTCAATTTGTACAAATAGCTTACTCAGAAATTATGTAAAACCGCAGTGCTTTACTTTGCTAGTGCATTCTCATTAGATTTGATGAATTTAACCCTTGACTTTTTTTCTATATTTTTGCCTTCAGGTGAGCAGTGTAATTGCATCCTAATCTACTTAATTACCACGAATGGCATTAAGGCATAAAACTGAACTCTGGCAAAAATTCTTCGTAATTGTATGCTAGTATTGAAAGAAACAATCAATCTGATAAGAAATGGCTGCGACTTGTTTTGAAAATGAGGCGTAAAAGGTTACCAGCAAGGATATTCCATTTGGCATCAGTTGTACCATTGTTGGTGACTTTACTGCCTGCGCCGGCAAAACGGAAAAGTACCATTCAAATAATATTAGCTCATGAAAAATTTTAACTTTTTCATTCTTATGAACACTATTATTGTAATTTTAACACTATATTTTAGCTTGTATTTATGAAAACATTCTTGTGATACAAAGACAGTTTCGAGAAAAATAACTGGTCCCAATTTTAAAATAGAAAATTCACCTTCAACATTATAAACTACAAGCAAAGGGAGGAATAAATTGCTTCATTGGCCTTGCATATTCCTTAGCACAAATTTACTAAAAAAACTCAAATTTAATTTGTGGTATTATGAGTAATCTTTACCTGATTTTTATCAAAGCATTATTATACATTATTCTTATTGTGATTTCACATTCATAAAACACTATTTTGATAATTATTACTCTTGCTGAAAATCACAATATTCTACTGGTTTTAACGCATTTCATTTCCTGAATTATTTTTTTAAAACGTCCAAAAGGGGGGAAAAAAACACATTTTCTGTGCAATGACACTAAAATCAGGAAGTGTAATTTATTTTTAATACGGGAAAAACAAAGTATCTGGAAAATTAATCACTGTATTTTTATTATAAGCAGATCTCACTTAAAATTTAGAAACATACTCTATTTTTGTTAACAACACTATTTTGTCTAGTAATTTCTTCCGCAAAATTAAAAAAAGCTAATCAAAGATAAGAGTAATCTAGGATTTCATGAAGCTCTGCCCAGAACGTAGACTTATAGATAATTACGTATCAATATAAATGTATACATATATATATTACTACCTTAAACGCTCAAAGTCTTCATCTATATTAAGTTCGGGTCGAAAAATTCCACCTGCTCCAGCACTTAGAGTATCTTCGTTGAATTTATCTGCATATAGCGATACACTAGCAGACGGAAATTCTTTTTGAAGACATAAGACTGTGGATAATCCAATTACACCAGCACCAATGACAGCAATATTTTTCTGTTTCGTCATTATTGTTAAAAAATAAAATCTGAAAAGAATTAAACAACAATTTAAAATATAATACGCGAACGATTTATAAGAATTCAAGAAATACAACCTTGAATATTGTTTTGAAAATAAATGTTGCCAATTTGCATCTACAATAGCGTAGTTTTGGTGGGAATGTTATGAAGCTGCTCGATCTGAGATTCAGTTGATTCGATGCTTTTAAAAATAAGCGTACATGAAAATGAACATCTGTAGTATTTTGTTTTATTTAGTTAAAAATGGAGTCACTAAACTTTTCTGATACTTTTATTTCATTAAAGAATGAGTAAATTCTTGTTTAATAGAAGCTCAACGAATTTAAAAAGTTGTATCATTTGCTGATGCATGTAATTTAGAGTCAGGAAACACAACTTACAAGTCTTAGCAAGTGTCTATATTTTATTACAAAAATTTGAGATGAATATTTTAAATATGAAGCTTCAGACTTTAACTACTAGTTCTGAGTCTTTCAGACAGACAGGCAGACATATGTCTTGTTTTGCACTCGCTACGTCTTTCTGCACCGATGGGCGAAAAATCAAGCATAGGTGCGAAGGAAAGGTATATAGAAAGAGGCGCAATTTCGTATTTGAGGAGAGTAAAAAGGAACTTCGCACATTTTGTACTAGTTCAAAAGGCCAGGAAGAAAAGATGGGACAAAATAAAATTTAAAATAAATGGCCCAAAAATAATAGAGGGGGGAAAAAAGGGCCTATAGAAAGAAAAGGAAAAGAAGTAGAAAATATCCTAAAATACGATTGTGTCCATGAGTGTAGTTAAAAGGAGAAGAATCTGTCTTCATTTACAATAAATAGTGTCTCACAGGTGTGTGTGTCTAGTGAGTGTGTTTGGTAATGGTGAAAGATGTGTTACTGGAAAAAAAAAATAAAAAAAAAAAATATGATGGTGTTAAAATGCTTCGTATCAAGGTATTTAGCATGGAATATAAAGTAATATGTATGCTTGCATCCTGAGATATCAACAAAAGTATATATGAATTTAACTAAAGTAACTTATGCTATTTTCATTCCCAAAATTTTCATACATTTTTCAAAAAACAGCAGCAGACTAACAACATAGAACCATATACAATAGAAGACCACAACCGCAACCCCCCCAAAAAGTAAAAATTAAAAAAAATAAAATTTTATATTAATTATTTTACTATCATAATTTATTACTAGTTAATTAACGCTAGTTATAACACAATGAGGCACACTGTTATTTATATAAGCCTCATAGTTCTAAGAACTAAATTTTGCCAATGAAGAATAATCCATCCCTTACATTATGAACATTTAACAGATAGCAAGGAACAGTATGAGAAAAAAATCGGTGAAGTATAATATTCTTTAAAGGCGAAAACTATATTTAAGCGATCTAAAAAGAAAAGGAGAAATCCAAGAAGATTCGAGAGGGAAATAGCGCGATGCCCAAATTTTCTCTCTCACGAGATTCCTTAAAACAAAGATAAGGGCTTTGTAAGTGGTGAAAGACGTGAACTGATAACGTTGGTGTCTGTTTGGAATTGATTCACAAAGGAAGCCACAAGCAATGAGCAATTTCAAGTATTTTTCAATGCTTTAAACAGATGAAAAATTAAAATCTATTGATTTAAAGGCACTTATTTATAGAAATTTGATTTAGTTTAGATGAAAGAAAAGTACTTATCTTAAAATTCCAGGCTTTTGGAGTATATCCTTACATTGTCCGCTGTTTTATTCTCGTCAACATCGGAGCCGAAATTCTTTGGAATGATAAAGGTATTGTAGAAAAAACACTATTTCAAAGTAATTTAATTGATAATCACCAAGGGGAAAGGAAATTTTTTTCACTTTTTACGAAACGCTGCGAAAGTGCAGCCGCTTGCCTCGGTGATCGCAGCGGTTGTAGCCATCTGAGTCTTTCGAACACGGGAGGCACGTTAGGTTAAGGCGGTTTTTTGATGGCAAATTTATCCGTGTATCATCACATAAAAAATGCAGTCTCACATAAAAAATGAGAAAGTCTGCTGCTACATAGATAACATCATCAAAATTATGCTGAAGTAAAAAAATGGCATACTTTATCAAATTTATTAATAAATATTTGCTGAATATCACTTTTGTTTTTTTTAGCGCATTTTCGATTAGTATCAGTATTGAAAAATGGAGGGCGCCACAACTCCATTTGGGAGGATGGTCAATTTTCACTTTGAGGAAATATTTACTTTTTCTGGCATTAAAATGGTTAATTTTTTTTATCTTAGGAAACGAAGTAACATTTACAGATTCACCATGAAAAGATTCATTCATCACAATGTTATTTTTACAGCACAAAACATGCATTAACATATATTATATCCAAATACTTTGCAAACCTTAAGGTTTCGGAAATGTCATTGCATCTTTCGTCAAGTAGGAAATTTGGCGAGAATATTTTCACTCCTGTGTTGTAGATCGTCTGCAGACCTGAAAACAGGTTTTGGATGTATATACCCCCCTCCCCGCCTCAAGCAATTTAGGAGAACTGATCGTTGAAAGTTGAAAGCACGGAGAAGGAGGTGAAACTGCCTAGTAGAAAAACGGCACTGCTGTTCCATCTTAGCAGTTCCAAATGTAAATATTTATTGAGTAGCCAGGCGGCTAAGCTTACTAGCGGATGAAAAAATGCTTATGTTTTTAATGTGATGGATTATTATTATTATTATTATCAACGTTATAATATTCTGCTCACTAATGATTGTATTTTATTCCTCAAATTATAAAATTAATTTACAGCTTTCATGCTTGTAGTACTTTTTATGAATGATTAATTTGAAGATATTTTTCAGCCCCTCCACCTTAGAAAAAAATCATATTACTAGTAATAATACTTGCTGCGTATATGTTAAATTTAATTAGAATAGGTTCTTCGCATCTCTCGTTTTGTAAAATGCTTAGATACACAGCTTGATATAAACTGTGGCGAAATTTTAATGAAGCTTATAGAATTTTTTTCAGTCAATAAATTTTCTTTACTATCATAATGAGTTATTCTTTTTATGAATCAGATGTCAGTTTTGATTTTGATATTTTTATCTTTTTCTGTTAAAAATTTCCATACCTTTGTTATTGAGAAGTATGTTTCAAATTGATTTCACAAGATCTTAAAATAGAATTCGGATTTGAATTCAGTTAAGTATTCTGAACACTTGGTTATGCTGAACTGTCTATTATTCATAATTAAATATAAAGAGTAAAAAATATGGAAACTAATTCAATCTATCTTTAATTTTGTCCTGCTTGAACAAACTTCTAACCAATAAATGCAGTATTTTAACTAAAAATATAATGTAGATCTTTTTTATTTTAAAAGTACATGTGCTCTTTTCCTCCAAAGGAGGAAAATTCTATCCCATTCAATAGCCTAAAAGATGAGTTTCTTATGTTTAGAAAAATTTTATTACAGTTATAATGAGATGATATTTTCTCGCTGTTAAAGTTTCAAATTGGTACATGTAGCTTTTTTGAAAAAAAAAAAAATGTTGTGCATGTGTTATCTTTTACTGGAAAAGATCCCCTATTTTTTATTTTCATTTATTGAACTGATTATTTACTAATAGAGTCTAATTGCATTTGTTGCAAAACTACCAGGTTAATATCAGAGTACCTAATGTGTGCTTGCTGCGGTATTTAAAAAATATCATTACCTATGTAAAACTAAAGTCTGTTTTCTCTTGCAGTAATTATTTACTTTTTTATTCTCGATTTAATATCTCTTTTTCAACGATTAAAGATTCGCAGTGAAAGAAAACAGTTCAATTAAATAAAAATGTAACAGTAATTGCATAAATAATCCTGAAACAATCTCAACAGTATTGTTTTATATTGTTACACACAGGGGTGAGCTATAGGAGGCTAGAGTGATTCGTTAAATTTGTGATCAATTTGCAAGCACCTTGTTCTTTCCCACCAGCAGTTGAGCAGCAAAAGTCACCAAACACTGCCAGTTTGGTTCTGGATTCGAATCCCGGCAACAGGCTAGCTGCATGGGCATTTTTCTGGGTTTTCCACGTGAAATATATATACAAGCCAGTTTCGCTTAGAAATGAAGGTATCCTTACCCTTAGGCAGATAGCCTGCAGGTTGTTTGGTGTAATTAAATAGAGCAAACCAAACCTTTTCTTTTTGTTTATGGTTTAGAAAGTACTGCTGATGAATGTGTACATGTCTATATAATTTTATAATAGTTTGAATTCATATCGAAAAATATTTAAAAACCCATTTAATTGCAATTTACTCTCACTGAACTGTTGGGAAGGAAATATTTAAAATTTTTCAAGATTCATATCAGCATGCTGAAAACAATAGACATTTAAATAATGTGTCTTCAAGATCTTTAATTAACATATTATTGTAAGTAAAATGTGGAGTATTAGCCAGATGCAGTATTCGCCAGTAAAATATTGTCGCCAGATGAAATCCCTTATCTGTTTTTAGACGACTGTAATAATTCCAAGCACATAAATTTAATGTGACCTCATCAAATATTCACCGCTTTTCGAGGGGAGGAGGAAAAATTAATTATGTGCATAATAAAAATTCATGGTGCCAGCCTCATATAAAATCAAGACTATCACTATGGAGCTAAGTCTGAAATACAAATTACAATTTAAATTGGAAGATTTATCATTTAGGTATCACCAAAACCATGCCATCTACACAAAAACAAAATTTCTAACTTTAGAACATAGAACCACTTATTCAAATATTCCATAATTCAATACAAAAAATATATTTATATAAACTCAGTCTTCACATAAGCAACTTTTTATGCAAAATACATAAAATACATATATAAATATGGTATGTAACATTTTCTAGTATACCGTATTCAAATACACAGTACAGAATTGTGAATGAAGTATTTCTATGGTAAAGCAAAATTCAATTTTTGTACAGCCCCAGTTACACCTAATTAGATACATCACATACAGGATAAAGAAGCAATACAAACCAATAATGGTTTATGGTATTATAAAATCACATCATACGAGGAAATCTTGAAATTAAACACTTATGCACTTGTATATGTTAGGCACAATGTTGTTGAATCTCGAAATGATATATAA